TGGATGAAGAAACTGTGGGACACGTGTTTGGTGGAATACTACTCAGCTCTGATAAAGGATGAAATCACACCACTGAGACAATATAGATGGTGCTTGAAGAGATTAAGCCAAGTGAAGTATATCAGAAAGAGAAACACAGTTGCTAGATGGCTTCATTCATAAATGGAATCTAAGAACCAAAACCAACAAAATCACGACAGAAATAACTGCTACACTTGGGAAAATATGGCAGGTATCTGAGGAGGGGAAAGCAAGGGTAGAAGGCAGGGGTCAGTGTGTTGATGTGGGGTACAGGGACTTGGGGAGCGGTGTGTGAAACGTGTACATATCCAGGTGCATATGAAGCTGTACTCCCCAAATTATGTAGAATTGTAAACAAATGACAAATCAGTCAATTGGATTCCAATGAAAAAAGGTGGAACATGAGGAAGAAAAATCCCACACAACACCTGAAGCATTTGGAATATGCAGGAAAAAATGAGGGATGAGAGCCTCACCTTCAGGCTGTAACTGTAGGAATGGGAAGGAAAGCGTGGAGCTGAGAAATCGATGGAGGAAATCTGGGCCAGATCTGGTGATGGCGACATCAGCACAAAATATAAAATGCAGCACCAGAGGGTGGCCCCGCTGGTGGCTAGGCTTTACACCAGGAGAACATCATTGGCCAAACATGGAAACGGAGGCAGAAAGCCTGGACTGGATGGTGCAGGCGTGGTGAGCCTGCAATAAGCAGGGCGTCCGTGGGTATAGCACCCACTCTGTGCTCAGGTCAGAGCCATGAGTTGTAGGGGGTGCAGATAGACCCTCCTTGGAGCGTGCTCTTTTTCACAAGACAGAGCAGGCCTCAATAAATGTGGGTTGGGCCCTCCCTGGTGGTGCAGCAGGTTAAAGCACAGCACTGAGAATCTAAAGCCGCTTCCTCATGAAAGCCGCTTCCTCATGAATTCGATTCCCGCCTGCCCCGGAGGTGACCACATGGTGTGGCAGACCTCTCCTGACCCGCCGGCTGCTCCCCTCAGCAGTGTACTTCGTCGATCTGCCTGTTCTGTTCCCCGCTCTGTCTCTGGTGAAGCCTCTCACCACCCCTGAGCCTCTGGCCTGTACCCCAGTTCTGTATGCACAAATAAATAAATCTTAAAAAAAAAAAATGTGGGTTGGTAACAAATGCTCTCAAGGAGCATCCTCGTCACTTAATCTAATACCAGGAGGTTAGAGAAAATGGCCCCAAACTCATCCCCATTTCACTTCCCTAGAGTAGAAGAGGCAAGAAACAGAGTTAGGGGCAAGGAAATGGGTGGGGAGAACATGCACCCCTGGCTTCACCCTGTGCTCCCGGGGGCTCTTGAGTAGGAAGGAGAGGCCCAGGTCCCCTTTGTGGAAAGAGAGTGGGTCCCCCCACCCCATCTCCTCTCCATCCACAACATCTCAACTTTAATCTGTTCTAGATACTGACAAAACTTATGCTTGCACTTGAACTTCAACCAAAAAAGTATTTTTCATGATTTCTGAACATACAAACATTAAAACTCAACTGAAAAAGAAAATTGCTAATTACAGCACTAACTATTGCCCCCCCAAAAAAATTTTTTTAATAATGTTTAATAATCACTGCGTGGTTTTTGAGGTTATCCCATGTATTGCCCCCCCCCCAGAAGCATGTCTTCTATAGAGAAGCCTACGGGGTCCGGACAGACAAAATGTGGGAGCCAAAACCTCGTGTGAAACCTGCTCAGGTCCCAGAGACCCCTCAACCCCTCCACCAGGCTTCTCCCACTTGTCCCCTCCACCAGGTTCCTTTGTGTAGACGCCAGGTTAGATTCAAGGGGATCCCTTGCCTGCCCCAGCTCCTCCTGAGACACCCCCTCCAAAGTGAGTTAGTGACTGGGTGGGGTGCACCTTCCAGGATTGAGTCCTGAGAGCCCTCCTCGCAGCCCCGCCCCCCACGGCCACCCCCTCTTGCCCTCCTCCTCCCAGGGCTGCCGCTTCAGCCAGTCCGGCCTCACCTCTGTCTCCGGATGCCCGCACCCCAACTCTCAACAGCAGCAAGAGGAAGCGAGATTGGGGTGAAGGGATTGGAACAAAGATCCTTTGCAGACCTCCCTGCTAATGGACATTTTGAAGGCTCGGCCACCGCTTTACTCGGGCTTCATTATAACCCTCAGCTCCCAGCTGACAACCTGATAATTCTCGCTGATAACACAATCTTTGGCAGCTACTGCACTGTCTTGACACTGTCCTTCTTGCAGGAAAGATTGTGAGATATAAGAATGAGCTGTGAAATCACCATTAGAGGACAGAGAAAAGGGCCCAGGGAGGAATGTTCTCTCCCCACATTCTCTCTCTATGTCTCTCTCTCTGTGTCTCTCTCACTGTGTGTTTCTCTGTCTGCGTCTGTGTGTGTGTGTGTGTGTGTGTGTCTGTGTCTCTATCTCTGTGTGTCTCTCTGTCTCTGTGTGTGTGTCTCTTTTCTCTCTGTGTCTCTCTCACTGTGTGTCTGTGTGTGTGTGTGTCTGTCTCTGTGTGTGTCTCTGTCTGTGTGTATGTCTCTCTCTGTATCTCTCTCTGTGTGTCTCTCTGTCTCTGTGTCTGTGTGTGTGTGTCTCTCTCTTTCTCTGCAGGCCTTTCCCTCTCCTCCTGCCCTCCAGCTTTTTGCCCCTCTCCCCAGCTCCTACCTTTCTCCAGGGCTCAGCCCCCTCCTCAGCCCCCTGCTCTTTCTCCAGTCTCTGCACGCTCTCCTCCTCTCTCCTCTCTTCCCTCCTTCTCTCTCTTGTTTTGGTGCCAGAAACAGTCTAATTACAACAGAGAACTTGAAGAGACAGAGAAGAGGGAAAAAAACCCGGCACACACAGCTGATTAAAATGTCCTATGAAATCTAATTTGTAAAGCTCAAATCAGAATAAAAAGTGTTACTCCCACAATTCAAGGCCAATTTGATTTTTAATGAGACTCCTCAGAGACCCAGCCAAGATCTCATCAGGATGTAAACTCGGCTACCTTCACACCTGCCACAAACCCTCTGATGTGGGCCTCTGTGTCTCCTCTTGAGGGGCCCCTGCCACCTGCCCTGCCTCCATCCCCAGCCCCCTGGGGCTCATCCCCTACTCAGAGACAGGCTGCTGAGCACTGAGCTGGTCTGTGTTCAGAGCCTTAGGCTCTGTGACCCCAAGTGGGCAACCGGCCAGTGTCCTCTGGCAACCCTTGCCTGTCCTGTGTCCAGCCTCCCTCGGCTGTGTATCTGTATGGCAGAGTATGGGAAAGGATGGGCTCAGGGGCCATGAACCCCAGATCGTGCCACACCCCACCTCACATCGGCTGTGCAAGCTTAGGCAGATGACTTGGCCTCTCTGATTCTGGTTTTGTGCTGTAAAATGGGAATACTTCCACCCTGAAAAGTAAGCAAGCCGGTGACAGGAGGGTGGGTGTGTGAGCAGGGGTACGCTTTGGGCTGGGGGCTCAGTAAGTGTCAGTGTCCCTGTCCTTGAGCTGTGGCTCCCAGGGAACGCAGGTCACGTCTCCCCCAACCTCTCCTTTAGCAATTCCCTCCAGGACCAAGCTTAGGGTCTGCGTGCATCGCAGCTCAGTGGACAAGCACAGGGTTTTCAGAGTCAGGTCATCCTGGGTTCACAGCCCTGGTCCCGAGCCCTGTGACATGGGTGGAGAAGGCCCTGGAGCACTGCAGGGACTGAAACTGCCAGGCCAGGCACAACCGAGTGCTTGGGAGGTCATGAGCAAGCACAGTCCTCCAGTGACTCATCTCCTCATTTGGAAAATGGAGATGAAAATAGATACTGGGCCAATATTGTAAAATCTTAGCACAATCCCTGACAAGTTGTGCACCCTGTAGGTAGGTTGGTTCACTAAAACTCACTAGCAGGCCCTCCCTGGTGGCGCAGCAGGTTAAAGCGCAGCACTAGGAAGTTAGCTGTGCCTCTTCAGCACAAGTTCGTACCCCAGCCAGGGAGCTGACCCACTGGCAGGGCAGACCTCTCCTGTCTCTCCCACTGCTCCCCTCAGCAGTGTACTTCATCAGTCGGCCTGTTCTGCTCCCCACTCTGCCTCTGGGGAATCCTCTCACCGCCCCGGCACCTCTGGCTGTACCCCAGTTCTGTATGCATAAATAAATAAATCTTTTTTAAAAAATCACCAACATCGAGGGCTCTGTACTGTCTTGCTTTGAGGTGTGCGTGGAGAAGGTGTGGGCTCACACTGCTGAGTCTCCCAAGGGACGGTGAAGCTGCGGTAGTGTCTGCTACAAAAAGGAAAGGGACAGGGAGGACGAATTAAGATGACTGCCAGCTCCCTCAACCACACCCCCTGTGCCCACACTCCCACCATGCCTCCTGCAGGATTTGGCCCTTAGCCCACCCTAGGAGCCAGAATAATATTATTTCTTGGATTCTCAGGTTGATTGTATTCTCTTAATGTTTCATTGATTTATTTTCTGGCATCTCTGTTAATTTTTAAATTATATTTGATTTCCTCCTGCTGGTGTTGTCCCTATAATTGTTCCCCCACCATGGCACCCACAATCCCTCACCACAGTCCCTTATGCTTTTTTCTCCCGTGGATTGTTAGCTTTAAGCAAACCGTCCTGCTCCCCACGACCCCCCACTGCACACATGATATGCACCGGGCGCCCCCGCAATTCTTCTAGGTGGAGGTCTCTCTCCTGCCTCTGCGCTAGAGTGGGTATCAGTCAAGTGGCATTAAGTAGGCCACTAGTCCTATACCTCAGGGCACATGCGAGAGCAATGGGTGTGGTCTGCTGGGGCTGGGGGATGGCTGGAGGGCTGAGTGTTAGGCCTTGATGAGCAGAGAGGCTGGAGCTGGGAGCTCTGGGAAATCAGCTGGGCCGGTGAGCCCCTGCAGGGAGCAGAGCACTGGGGGTGGGGGGTTGCTTGTCCCCTCAGACACCTGGGCTCTGCTCTGTAACTTGAGGGGAAGCCCTGCAGACCCTGCTTTCTGCAAGAAACTGACGGCTGTGCTTCTCTCCTGCCTAGGTCAAGTGTACTCCTTCAGCCAGCAGCCCCAGGACCAGGCCGTGGTGTCGGGGCAGCCAGTGACACTGCTGTGTGCCATCCCCGAATACGATGGCTTCGTCCTATGGATCAAAGACGGCTTGGCCCTGGGTGTGGGCAGAGACCTTTCCAGTGAGTACCCCCGCACCTCCCAGAAAGACTGCAACTCTTCCCTGCCTCACCCTCCCAGGCAACCCCTTCTTCATAGGCATTTGGGAATTAAATCTCCAGCTCTCACTGCAGATCCGTGGTCAGTGTCAGGCTAGGTGAGCCCTGTGTCCAGGCTTCAGAGAACCCGAAGGGCCTGACAGCTGCTAATGAAATTATTGACCCTCCCTCCTAGGGTCAGTGCTAACCCTGACATTGTTGCCTGATGTCTATTCTGACATCAGACACGATGCAGGTACGGTCAGAGGTCACTTGCAGAGGTCAAGTGTTCCTATCTCTTGGTCCAGAATAGAATCCCTGCTAAGCCACAGCCTGGATTAAAGGGAGCCAAATGGACTGAACACTCACAAAGAAACCGGATTGGTTTAGGGGCCCCCAAGTGATGGCAAGGAAAGCAAAGTGCAGCCCTTGTTCAGCACCTGTAGTGGCATATACAGTAAAGTGCAGCCCTCAGCCTACCGGCTGGAACAGAGCAAGATGTGATGCCACTGATGGCTGGCATCTGGGCTTCCTGGAAGGCCTGCCCCGTCCTCTTTTATTGCCAGTATTACCTATGCCATACAAAGGTCCTTCTGGTCCATTCTCTTCCCCAAGGTAATTCTGGAGTCATCCTTCTCATCTTGCCCACCAGCCGTTATGCAGGGGAAGGCATGGTAGGCTGGTCAGCTTGGCATAAACTGTAAAACAAGTGTCCACAGCCCCTGTGATTAAGGGAGGGCTGAGAGTGGAAGAAGGGGAAAATACGGATTCCAGGGAGAGGCAGCTTTGCCTCTCATGCTGTACAGCTGCAGGAAAACAAAAATCCAAGTGTGCTTAGGGACATGATGGTTGGGATATTAATATTTGAAAATATGAGCTATGTCTTTCCAAAGTATATATTGCAACATTATAGCACAGGTCAAGAGTATCACAGGCCCTGAGTGCTGGCCCCCTGAATGAGTACAATACACAGCCCTTCTCCAAAATATACTGTGCTGCTGTACGAGCTAAGTATAATGGACAGCAGGCCAATTCCGGGGACTCTGAACTCTTGCTCAGAGAAAATGGGCAATATCTTCTCAAACTGGGCTCGTTTGTCCTCCACGTGGCTCTGAAGTTGGCCAGCTCCCTGGGGTCTGGTCAGTGGTTCTCCCTTACGTCAAGGACTGGGATCCTTCTGGATCAGAGGTCAAGAAGAGGCCACAAGTCACCATGGATGTTGCCCCCCGCCCCCCCATTGGTAACTAACTTGCTGGCAGCCATTTCCATGAACGGTTTTCTGGGGTCCAAGACTGGGGCCCCTAAATGCTGAAGGACAGTGGCTCTGATAAGCTGGGGTCTGCTTCCTCTCTAGAATAACTCCATTTATAGAAGAAGCTTGGCCCTCTCTGTGCAGAGCCAATAAATTCAACCTGCTGGTAAAGTCCTTGCTCTGTATTTGATCACTCACCCCCAAAATAGCACCACGACAAGAATGACAAATACATACCTGCTCAATAAATACTGTTAGCCTGCCTGATGAAAAAGGAGTGTAGCAGAGCTCAATTCAATTCAGTATTTGCAGCAAACTTAATACTGCACACATTTTCCTCTGGGGAAACTGAGGCCCGGCTTGTGGAATGTCAGCCTGCCACAGTTCTGTCCTCTCGTGTCTTAACTGTGAGGCCCCAGCCTACCAATTACAAAACCCTAACTCTCCAGGCAGAAAGGCTGGAAACACAGTTAAGGAAATAATTTCTAAATATGTTCCTGCATATTAGTAGAGCATTTTTCTTCTAAGGAGCTCAAGTACTTCTCAGACAGTATCTCATAAACCTACAGAGGAGAGAAACGGAACTTTTCCTTTATTTCACAGGTAAACAAAGTCTCACAGTTGAAAAATGATTGCTTCAAACATACCTTAATCCCAATGCATAGGGCCCTATTCCTAAGCCCCAAAGAGCAAGCCCTCTATCAGTTCTCCCTTCTAAAAGTGGGGATCTCTTTGACCTCCCCCCCCACCCCAGATCACAGTCTTTTTTGTTTTTAACATTGCACTTCTAGACGATATTACATGCCAGGCACCTTATCCGGGCCGTCCTATCTTGTGATCGCCAGAGCTCTGTGAGTTACTAGTGTTTTCCCTACTTAATTAATCAGGAAACAAAAGTCAAAAAAATTGAAAGTAACTTTCCCAAGACAACAGAACTAGGGAGTGAGAGATCTAGCATTTGAGCCCAGGAAATTTGACAGTGTAACCCAGACTCCCAATAATTTTGCCTCCTCTGGGAGAGGAGGCAAGAAAGAGTAGGGATGCTGTGGAAGGAGCTAGAACTTCTCAGAGTTTGTGTTTCTGGGCCAGTGTTTTTCAAAGATGCTGTCAGTCCTCGAGATAGCATCACAGTCCGTCGCCTAATTAGGCAAATACAAACAAACCCATCGCTGATGTTTTCAGCAGCTCATGAGAACAAAATCCTGCTGTTGATAGCTTGCAAGACAACAAAACATAAGCTCCAGCCAAGATGCCTGCAGGAAGCCAGGGACTAATCACAGGACAGCGGGATCCAGAGGCTGGACTGCAGGGGCAGGGGCACCGAGCCAGCGCCGTTGAGCACAGCCGTAGGGGAAGGGCTGGCCGGGACCCCATCTCCAGCCCCTCGCCCTGGCCCTGGGGAGAGTCAGCTTAACTTACCTGGGCTCCTTCCCAAAGCCCAGCAGAGGGCAGGAAGGGCGGGCAGGAAGGGAGGAGGCGTCTCAGGGTACGGCTGATTGCCTCGGAGGAACTCTGGCCAAGGCTGAACAGCTGTGAGGGCAGGGCCACGGATTGCGCCTTGGGGGCAATGCCGTTGTGCAGATCGGAGCCTGAAGGACTCAGCTGCAAGGGAAGCATGCAGAAAAGAGGGATCGCAGCTACATGCAATGCCCAGAATGGGTGCTGGCGGGCCCTGTACAACCCCCTACCCTGTCACCTCTAGGAGAGGGAGGAAGGGGCCTCAGAGCTCCAGTATTTCGTCCAAGGTTGCTAGACCCTCTGCACATAATCATTCAACCTCTGAACTTAGCCAGTGACAGGGACCTCACTACCACCTCTCTAGATCCCTGTGGGACACCTCAAATCCAGCCAGAGAGGTGACCCATCTGGCACAGCAAATCTCTCCTGTCCCGCGCTCTGCTCCCCTCAGCAAATCTACCTGTGCTGCTCCCCGCTCTGCCTCTGGTGAATCCTCTCACCCCCCACACCCAGTTCTGGGATGCGTAAATAATTAAATCCTAAAAGAATATTACAAAGCATTTTCCTATGTTAATTCTGCCCGGAAAGAGCTACATGAGGGCTGCTCACTCATACTAAGGAGCTTGGAAAAGCACTCCCGCTTGCTGAAGCCCTAGTTCTCTCCTTCAAATGTCCACATTCCCAGTCCTCTCCTCCAATGGATCCTTGCTGAGAATTCCCCTCCTCTCCTGGTGAAGGTCCTTAGCCAGAGGGTCAGGGAGGGGCTGCAGGAGCCCTCTCTCTAAGAAAAGAAAGCAGCCAGGTCAGGAAGATGTGCCCCAAAAGTACTCGGGAGTGGTGGCCACAGGGCTTGGATAAGGGGGTAGATGGAAACATCCTAATGGGAGCAACTCAGGAGGTTTCGGGTCCAAGGCCTGGCAGAGAAGGCTCTACCCACCCTGGCCAGCCAGGACTTACGGGGCCATTTATATACAACCCAGCATAGCAGTAGGAAAACCGATTAATGATTTATCATTCTAAGCTTTTATTTATCTATTATTCATCGTCAGTGATATAAAGGGCCCCAAATTCCTAAGTGTCCTGTGCGCCTCCTAAGTGCTTAATCAGGCCCTGGGGTCTGGGAGGCAGGCAGGACAAGAAGAGGCCTGCTCAGAGTTCAAAGTGGACTCTGCCAGGCGGGCTCTCCATTCTACTCCCTTCCATCTGGAAACAAAACTGTTCCCCCAAGACTACTCTTGATCCTTTTCCCAATATTTCTCTGTTTTCTTGCTTCTCTCTCCCTCTTACTCTGTGAATCCCAGCCTGGGTCTCCTGTCTCCTGGTGTGTCTCTTTATCAAAATGCCAGTCGGCTCGGGCAGCCACGGTGCTGAGCAGATCACTCCCTGAATAATAACCCCGCTGTGTCTGCGGGTCTTCACCTTTCCGTCTCTGCTCTCACCTTCCCTCTCTAATGTCACCACCCGACATTCCTAAGCCTGAAACCGACAAGACTGACACACACTGTGCCACCCCCTGGAAATCTCTCCTTCCCGTGCCTAGGTGCTGCCAGCCCCTCAGACCAGCCCCTGCCCAGATGCGCCCCACTCTGTGACTCCTCCATCCCCCAGCTTGCCCTTTACAGGATGCCTCTGTCTCCACAGGTTACCCACAGTACCTGGTGGTAGGGAACCACCTGTCAGGGGAGCATCACCTGAAGATCCTGCGGGCAGAGCTGCAGGATGACGCCGTGTACGAGTGCCAGGCCATCCAGGCCGCCATCCGGTCCCGCCCTGCGCGCCTCACCGTCCTGGGTAAGCACCGTCTGCATGCTGGGTGAGGATGCTGTGGGGAACATTGTGGATTGGGCTTCAGCCAGACCAGAGCAGCCTCCGAGGTGTTGACCCACAGGGCTTGGCCAGTGCTGTCCCCTTGTGTCTATCCCCACCTGACCCCCCAGAAAGGGGAAATGGAACCTCCTGCCCTGAAATCAGAAGGCCAGTGTTAACTGAGCCACAGACCTGTCCACCCCCGGGTATGGGATTTCAGATCAGGGCGCGAGCGTGGCTCCTGCCTGCCTCTGCAGTCCATTGGAAAGCATGTCCGCACACGCGTCTGTCAGGCCCTGGGCTTGGCAGTGGAGACACAGGAGGAATGAGACATATCCAGAGTCCCCGCTTTCTGCCTTGATTACCCTCTGGGTGCTACCAAAGCCCTGTTGAGTCGTCTCCCCCGGAACCAGCCCTGTGTGCGATTCTCTCATGGGCTTCCTGGGATCCTGCTTTTTCCCCAGCCTTCTTTCCCACTGCTCCTGGGCATCCTGACTCTCAGGCAGAGAACTGGGTGCCTAACTTAGCCCTTGGAAAGTGCTGGAAAGAGCTAAGTCCATTCCTAAGCCAGCACTCCAATTCCAAGCCATACCGATGGCTTGCTTTATCTCTCTTCCTAGCTGCCCCATCCCTGGGACACTCTGTCCTCTGGCAGTCAGGGAATGGACTTGACCACCCTTTCACTGCCTTCTCCAGACTTAGAATTCAGCCCCTCTTCTTGCCAGGCCACATGTGGGATGGAGCAGGCAGACAGAAGCAGGGAGTCCCCATTCTGCCTGCCTGACTCTTAGCAGCTGGTGTGAGGTTTTGACGACAGGTCTGCAGCCGGGGACCTGCCTCCTTGCCCAGTAGATAAGACACGTGGAAGCTCCCCAGATGAAATATTGAAGAGAACGTCAGGTCATCTTTGGATCTGCACAGCCAAGCACAGGGGCAGAGTGTCCCAGGCTAGGCAGCAGACAGGCCCACCCCAGAGGCCACTTCCTAACATCTTGCGGTGGGAGGAGAAACCCAGGGCCAACCTCAGAACCTCCTTTCCCCTTTGAGTGTCCTCTGGCTTGTGAAGAAGGAAACGAGAAAATGAACCAGGTCCCCCAAAGGTACAAGGCACATGGGTCAAGAAGTGGCCTTCAGAAAAGCAACCGGGCCATTCCAGGGACAGGTGGCTGTCTTTGTCTGGCCCATGTCAGTGGCTAAAATGGAGATGGGGGCTACAATTTGTGTGGACAGCTTAGTGACTGACATGCCTTTGGACTCTCAGGGTTTACAAAATGCCCAAACCGATTTACTAAGAAAAGTGGAGGGATCTTCACCTTCAGAGGTTGCTCGGGCCCCCACCACCTCACCCTTCCACCCCCGCCATCTTCAGAAGAATCTACCTCCTGCTGCCCTGCCCCTTCTAGAAGGTACCAAAGAAGGCTAAAATGAGAAGAGCCGTGTGCCGGCTGCTCCCAGCCTCACACAGGGCCTAAAATAGAAAGAGACCCAGCACCCATCCTTAACTTCTGGTCCCCGTGTCAACATCACACAGTCATGCAAAAGGAACACGTACAGCATCTTTTCCTCTCTACCATCACAGATAGATAACAAAGTCCAAATGATTCCAAATGTTTTGCAGATCAGGAAATTGAGACTCAGAGAGGCAGAACACTCACAAGAGGTCACACAGCTTAATTAAATCTCAAAGTAGAGCCCCAATTTTCTAACTCCTAACCACAGCTCTCCAGGCTTCTAATGCTGGCAGAATCTCCTATGTGTGCGTGCTATGAACCAGGCTTCTGAGAGCAGGCCTCAAGAGCTGGTCTGAGTAGGCTCGATTTTGTCTCTGGTCATATCTAAAAGCCTTCATTATCCCCTCCAACTCTCCAGGAGCCTGGAGCTCCTTCGGGGCAGCGCTGGGTATGGGGTGGGGGCAGTAGGGGAGAAGAGGGTAAGGGGGAGGGCTGAGGGCAGGAGGGCCGTTCAAGTCTGGAAATCAGCTGAAGAGGGGGAAAGAGGGGACTGCAGTGGGGGCCCCAGTCAACCTGGGAGCAGAACAGGCATCTTGTCTACCAATTTCCGTGTACACTCCACAAATACCGTCCCTCTAAGTGAACAAACCCTGAGCCAGAGACAGCTTGAGGTCCCCACACCCTAGCTGGCCTTGCAAGTCCCCGACCACCAGGCGTCCAGCCTGTCCCCACTCCCCCCAATTCATTCTGTGGGCGCTGCCCCAGGCACCCAGCCTAGCCAAGTTTCTCTGTGGTGTACAGCCCCACCTACTGCCCTGGAGAGAGGCCCTGTGCAGAGGCCAACCCAGCAGGCTGGAAAGGAAACCCTGGTCCATTCACAGTGGTGGATAAAAGAACGGCTGTTCCAGCAGAGGGGAGAAGGGTGTTTCTACTCCAGCCAGCCGCTTTCCCAAGCAAGACCCCATCTGCTTTGCTGTGACATCGCAGCCCGGGAAAATGTCCCAGCCGGTTCCCCAAGGGAGGGCTGCCTTCCCTGTGTTCCAGGAATGAGAGAGCTTCCTAATTTAGTCTGTATTTGCCTGAGATAGATTTTTAATTAAATAAAGTAAGAGCCTGATTAGAACCTGCAGAAGATGTGAGAACAAAATCAGATGGTATTCTAACAAAATTGCAAAGCAAACACTTTGGCTGGAACACAGGGAGACCCGGAGGTCTTCCATCAAAACACCAAGCGAGGAGGGCAAATTCGAGAGATTATATGGCCAACAGATGTGCACTGTTAAAATATGCATCTGCCTGCAGCTTGCTTGGAGAAGCCAGAGGGCCAGCTCACCGAGTCAGCCTGCTCCAGGGATGGTTTGGGGCCCCAGGCCCAGCAGCCAAGCCTGGAGTCACAGACACATTAATTAGCATTGTGTTTCCAGCTTCAGATGCAATCAGGCTGGAGGCAAGTTTGAGCTGAGCCTTTGCAACCCTGGAGGGGGGAGGAGGGGGGAGGTAAGGGACAAAGAAGGGGAAAAGGTAGAGAAACTGAGCTTGAAAACTGAGCCAGACAAAGGCTGGGGAGCCAGTCCAGGCCAGTGGTCAGACTGCATTCCCTCTGTGACCCTCTACTTGCCAAGAACCACACTTTGACTCAGAGCAGGTGAGACAGGTGTCTTCCCACCCCCAGGACCTGTCAGGGGTGATGGGTCATGGGCAGAGCAGCACTGGGGGGCAGCAGTCTTCACTCTGCTACTCACTAGCTGTGTGACCACGCCCCGA